AAAAAAAAAAAAAGAACTAGCAAACTTGAGGACAGATTGATATGCAATCTAAAGGACAGAGAAAAAAAGAAAAATGAATGGAGCCTCAGAGAAGTGTGGGACAACATTAAGCACACCAAGAATGAAAGTATCAGAAGGAGAGGAGAGAGAAAAGAGCAGAAAAGATATTTGAAGAAAGAATGGTTGAAAAATTTCCAGTTTATTAACAACATTAATGTACACATGCAGGAAGCTCAATGTAGAGCTAGGGCTGGGTCTGAAGCTCACAGAGCCCTCAAGCCTGTTGTCCAGACTGGGGCACAAACCCTTCACTTGCAGGTCTATGAGCTAGGTAACCAGAAAAAAGGTCCTTGGAGCCATAGGTGAAGAAAGAGTAGTCTTTATTCAGCACACACGCATCTAAGAGTTAGGCAGTCCAAAGAGAAACTCAGAAACTCAACTGCTACCAACAAAGTCCAAAGAAAATTGAGCAGCTGCCAGCAAAGTAAATTGCTCTATTTTTAGACAGAAGCTCTCTGCCCGCCAGCTGCTGCTTCACAAACTGCAAAACACACCATAGCAACAAACTAAAAAGATACATTGGTAGCATGTGCACTAATTCCACCCACACACAACTTGTTTAACAAGGAATGTGCTGCACCACCCCTAACTGGACTGAGGTGAGGGGGCCTGACCAAACTATTCTATTTTCTTCACACTCAACAAATTCCAAGCAGAGATCCACAAACAGACACATCATAGTAAAATGTTGAAAACCAAAACCAAGAAGAAAATCTTGAAAGCAGCAAGAGGAAAAATGATGTCACTTACAAGAGAATTCCAATAAGATTAACAGCTGACTTTTCTTTTGTCTTGGCAGGTGGCCAGTACAGGTATCATACCCTGGACCTTGGCATTATCAGCACCATGCTCTAACCAACTGAGCTACCCAGCCAGCCCCTTTAACAGCTGACATCAGAAGCAATGGAGTCCATAAGGCAGTGGGATTACATACGCAAAATGTTCAAGGGAAAAAACCAAAAAACTATCAACCAAGAATTTTACATCCAGCGGCTATCTTTAAAAAATGAAGGAGAGTAAGTTCAGATCCCTGTAAAAGCCAGCCACCAAAAAAATAATATGTTTTTTTAATAAAAATTTACTTTTTAAAAATTTATTTATTTTTATTTATTTATTTATTTATTTATGACGACGATGACCAGTAAGGGGATCTTAACCCTTGACTTGGTGTTGTCAGCACCACACTCTCCCGAGTGAGCAATGGGCTGGCCCTCCCTCCAATTTTTTTTTAAATGAAGGCAAAATAAAGACATTTCTGAAAATAGAGAATTTCTTGACAGCAGATTCACCTTACAAGACATACTAAAAGAAGTTCCTCAGGTGAAAAACAAGTAACCCCAGACAGTAATTTATACACACACACACACACACACACACACAAAAGGAACACCAGTAAAGATAAGTATGTTATTATAAAAAAAAGTATTAATGCATATTTCTTCTCTTGGTTGATCTAACATATTTTTATATATACATATAAAATATATATACAAATTTTACATACACACACATACATATTATATATATCAACACTGTACTGAGCTAAGAAAATGACTCCAGATGGTAACTCAAACTCATAGGAACAAATGAAAAGAATCAGAAATGATAAATAAGGTTAATATAACAAAACTATAAATAAATAATTGCTCTCCTTTCTTATCTTAGCTTCTTTAAAAGACATAAAATTGTATAAAGTAATAATTATAACAATAAATTTTAGGTTAGTAACATTTACAGATGTAATGTATATAACAATAATATCACAAAAAGGAAGGAAAGTGAAAAGAGCTAAATAGGAAT